ATATATATATATATTTATATGTGCTTGGAGAATTCTTTAATACCACTCTAAAAGTCATTACCTTTCAAGAGAGGGGCACCTGGGAGTGATGCAGTGAGACAGCGGAGAACTTTCACTTTTTATTTTGCAGACTTGTGATTTATTTGACTATTTTCTTTTAGAATGAATTTGTGCTATTTTTTATTTATAGTATATACCACCAATGTAGCATATTCGAGCATATTTTTGTTTAACAGGTAGAATAGATTTGAAGGGTTAGAAGAAACAGTTTGAGAATGTGTCAGATTGCGGGGGAAGGCTCATCTATATGAAAAGATGCCTATAATACAAACCAATGTCTTCTCTGCCTCAATGCCCAACATGCAAGAGCCTCTGATAATGCACCTATGTGAACCTTTAAAATTAAACCACCAGGCTGGGAGTCATCAACACTGAGCTTAGCTTGTGGCCTGTGGAGGGTATTCAAAAATATTTCTTGAACTTACTGGAAACCAGTGCTTTGTTCAAATGATATTTGACCCACTAAACTTTCACTGCTTGTCGATGCTTTAGGTGATCGTTTTTGTTTGCTTTTTAGTGAGAGGGTGAGAGGGACAGAACATGATTGATGGGGTGCAGGAGGAGATTGGTTTCTGGAAAAAAATAAAGAGAAAACCCAGCCCTTTAGGTCAGCCAGAATTTTAGTCTGGTTTTAAAAAGGCTCAGATATTTTTCAGATTGTTAATTAACAATGATACTATACCCTAATTGTTCTGTGAAGTTCCAAGTAAACGATCTGAAGGTCAGTAGAAATGACTCAGCCAGACAAGAAAAATGCACTTGAAGACCAAATTTATTATAGGGAAATAGCATCAGTATTAATCAACGATCAGATACTGAAAACTCTGAGTAATTTAAGTAGATTCTACATTTTGTTGCCGATGATTAAACTTTGCCAATAAATGACAAACAGTAATAATGATTTTTTTTTTTTTGGCAGAAGAGGCTTTAGTATACAAATGTGAAAGTGAACTTCTCACCAAAATAGAATCTGTAGGGAACAATGTCCAGCACTAAGTGCATTTGTTCAAAACAGAATCAGCGATATGCGGCCACTGAGCACTTGGAATGTGTGTTAAATAGACATCAGATTTTGAAGACCTACTTTGAAAAAGTATTAAACTATTAAAAATATCATCAAAATATTGATGATTTTAAATGATTATATGTTGAAATGATACTATTTTTAATATGCTAGAATGAAAAAATGCATTATTAAAATTAATTTTACCTGGTTTTAAAACATTTTTTAAAGTAGTTACCAAAAAAACTTTTTTTTAAATGTCAGTGGAGACGTTTTGGGTAGGAAGCAAGCCAAGAATCAGCAGTTTTATCTCCCTTACTTCCCAGAAAAGGGAAAAGAATACCAGAGAGCAAAAATGCTTTGTTCAAAAACACAGACCTGGCTGGGAAGAAATGAGGAGTCAGGCTTCCATCTTTTGAGTCTCTGTCTCAGGTTCTTTTGCTTACACAGCTGTACCTGAATGGAAAATTTAAGGCCAGAGAAAAAGGCTTTCTTAGGGCATCTCAGTAATGGATACCATGTTTCTTTAACCTTTTACGGTGAAGTCAATAGTTTAAAAATTTTGAGGATATTGAGTAGGACTGAGAGTAGATATATGCTAGAAAACCTCAATGTTCTGCTTTATATAGCTCTGTGTTAGTTGTGAACTGGGCTTATATTACTATTAAAAAAGAAAAAGAGGCCTGGAGAAGCAAACAGATAAGTATTTTTTTGTTGTTGTTGTTTGTTTTTTATAGAAGCCGTGTCTTGAAATTGAAGTCAGGAGGCCAGGGATATAGCTCAGTGCCACCTTGCTGTGCAAGGTCCCGAGTTTGATTCCTGGTACAAAAAAAAGAAATTGAAGTCAAGACATTTGAAGTGGCCTTTACTATAAGTATTACCTTCTTTCACATCTCTAAATACCTTGTTTAGTCTTTCTGCACTCTTGGGGTTGTTTTAATTTTTATGTTACTGAAGCAAAATCAACTGGTACAAACTAATTTTTGAATCTGTACCTGTAGCTTGGGAAAAATCTATGTATTTCACTACTTTTGTAAACAGTAGGCCGATAAGAATGACTGGTGATTTTGTTTTAAGAGTATTGACGTTCTTCCTTCTAAGGGGTACTTGTCAACAGACTTCTTGTTTCTGTTTGAAGCCATTTGCTGCAATCGTGCGTGAGAGTTTTTGCTGATGGCTTTCAGAGCCTTTACTTCTAAAGGTAAATTCTTAGAACACAAGTTCCTTGAGCTTCAGAACTTACAAAGACTCGTTTATTGGAGCAGCTGTGCTGAGTTCTTGAATGGAAAGATGATTTCCTCAGCACATTTTACAACACACATCCTTCCTGAGGATATGCTAAAACAAATTATTTTTATTTTTACTCCTTTAATATGCAAAAGAAAGAATTAGCTAGTCTGAGGGGCAAAGGTGACAGCAGCATTTTCTTTTTCTTTTCTTTTTTTTTTTGGTACTGGGGATCAAACTCAGGTTCTCAAGCTTGTGAGACAGGCTTTGAAACCACTGAGCTAAATTCCTGGCCCTCCTAGCATTTTCTACTTTTGTTGGCATTTTCCTTCTCCTTCAAGCTTTCGGTTGTTGGCTTTCTCAAGCCCTAGACCTTGACTTAGTGGTCCTGTAAGTTAAGGCACAGACAGACATAGGTTGCTTATAGTTAACTGTATTCCTGGTTTTTGTACAGATGTGATATGCATTCTTCTGTTCAACATTTTGTCAGTGTTTTCACTTTCTCTTCTTATGTCATCACTTTCCAGCCTTTTCAGTCTCTGAAACAAAAAATAAGCCTGTCCTAGGGATTTCTGTCATTTTCTTCATCCACTCTTCTGAGATAAGTGCAAAGGCTCTGAAAAAGGACTTTCGAAGTGATTCTTTTTTTTTTTTCAGCTTTAATTGAGTTTATTGGTACATTTTAGGGATACGGTACAGTTACATTCATTATTGAGATCTTGTACCTCTACATGACAGGTCTTGGTTCTCATTTTTTCCCCTTGTCCCTGCTCTCCCTTCACCCCTCCCCATCTACAAACACTTTATTTCTATCTTTTCATTATCTCACACTTTTTTCTTTTCCCTTATTACCCTTCCCCTACCCATCCCACCTTCCCTACACCTTTAGCCCCTTTATTCCCATTTCACAATGTCAGTAATCTTATTAGGATCTTACGTATTATTACAGTTTATTCACACCAGAGAAACTATTTGGTATTTACACATGTGTGCCTTATTTATTTTACTTAGGAGTATGAAAAAGGACTTTTGTATTTAAAATTTAAAGCATTATTTATCTAAGCTATGCAGATCCATCTGGAACATAATTCCAGTCTTTGGAATTCTGAAATCTGCTTCCATTCATTTCGCAGCCATACCTTTAAACACTTCCATAGTATGGGCCAGGTGGGGGCACATCCATCAAAGCAACCTTGCAGGGTGAAGGATACTGCACAGCGGACCGGAAGGGGGCATGGAGAGGGTCAAGCCGACAATGCTGGGAGAAGTAGAGTTTCCACCTCCAGGTATGTGGAAGTGCTGCACAATTGCAGTTTATGGCTAAGCTCAGGCTTCTTGCTGCTACCTGGGGCTCTGAGTCCCTGAGCTGAGGATTCTTGACCCCAGATGCTGGAGCTTTTACCTGCACCCCAATCCCAGGGCCCTGATCTGAGCTGTGTCACAAACACCAGCTCTGTGACCTCACCTTCACTCTTCGATTTGCAAAATGAAGGCCTGGGACTCCCTTTCCATCAGTAGATGTTAACCACGAGCAAGAGGGGAGCAGAAGTAGAACTCCACAGCTCTCTTTTGGAAATGGTTTCCCACCACTGTAGGAGGGGCCTCAGTCTATCGGTGGGTGTGGCACAGTGGGCATTAGGGAGACGTGTGTGCAAGAGCGCTGCCCCAATCCAACTAAATAAGCATTTCTGGGGACTTGGGCCTGGGGATTTCTGTTTTTCTTTTTTTTTTTTCTAGTGCTGGAGGTCAAACCCAGGGATTCATGCATACTAGGCAAGTACTCTGCCACTGAGATATACCCAGTCCCAGGAAGATACAACCACAAGCCAATATGCAGCCAGCGTCAAGAACCACTGGTAGTGAGAGTATCAGACCTAGAGAAGTTACATGTGAAGTCACACGTGACTGGTGGCTTCCATACCGGATAGTGGAGAAGTTAAACATTTCCTTAATTACAGAAAGTTCTATTGACTGGATGGCATAGACCAGTGGTAGCCAACCCATGGCACACAGAGCCCTCTTTGGCCTATGGGAGCCAAGTCACCCCAGCAGTTGAGCATCGAGCACCGGATAACAGCTGTTTTTCTTCTAAAGTCTCCATATTCAGGTTTAATTCCAGTATTGGCACTTTGTGATAAATAAGTAGGTTTTGGGTTGCAGTTTGGGCACTCAGTCTCTAGAAGATTCACTATCACTGCACTAGACTGTGGCTTCACTAACACCCAAGTGTACGCAAGAAAATGCACTTTTAACTCTTTTCTGGAAAATCCACACCATTAACTTCTCTTAGGTAAACTGTAGGATTTTTTGGCTTAGATGGAGAAGTAAAGGAAATGTAGAAACCAGCCCTTGTGTTGAGTGTTTTTTTTTTTCTCATTCTTATATACCTATACATTAGTTTGCCTAGAAGTCAACCAGCAGTGGATACATCCAATCAATTGAACAAATCATGAGCTCCCCTCCCCCACCCCATCATTTTTGAGGTCACACATAGCATTTAGTCCATTTGTGAAGTAGAACATTAACTTTTCTCTGCCCTGTTTGTTACTATCACAAGCCTTGTAGAATGAAGTTGTGCCTCTCTCTCTCTCTCTCTTCCCCCATTTCTCCCTCCCCCCTTTCTATCTCTCTTTCCCTCTCCCCTCTCTGTGTAAAGTGGGATAGAGAGAAAGATAGAGGTAAAAGAAAGAGCTGACATTAATAAGGAAGTATTATATATTTGTCAGTGGGAAAAGAAAGGCCATAGATGGGTTGTGTTTTATGATTTTATCTGTAATGTTTATTACAGGGATTTTGATTCTCCTGTTCTAAAGTTTCAGGAGTATAATTTTGCTTGGGCCATAGTGGGTAAGAGCACAGGCTCTGAAGTCAGACAGCCTGAGTTCAAACCAGGTGGCTGCCTTTACTAGCTAAGTGAGTGAAGGCAGCTTCCTTAACCTCAGTCTGCAAAGTGGGGACCAGTGTTGGTCTCTGTATCTCAGGGGATTATTCCAAGAAATGAATGGCAGAATGTGTATAAAAAGTCCTTAGTGTAGTGTCTGCTTATATCAGATGCATGCTCAATGAATATTTAAAACATTAGTGAAGATAGGAAAAGGTATTTTATCGTCAGTAAACAAATGATGGAACACCTTTGACTTCAACAAGTACAAAGCACATATACTCCTTGCAGGAGTTTTAAAGCTACTTTAAAATGTAATGCTCTTATCCCTTTGTCATATTGTGTAGGATGAGTAGGCCTGTTTCTCAAAGCACATTTATAGTTCCTGTGTTACATAAATGTCCTACTTACACCACTGTACTTGTTTAGTTAAGGACAAGCCCAGCAGCTGGGGAAGTGTCAAAGTCTGAAGAGCAAGTGGATTGTTGATTTGTGCTACTGTGTGTTAAAAGTCGCTAATATAACTAATCAGTCTTAAAAACAAGGAAGGCGGTGGTTCTTGACAGGAAAGAAACCACAGCCTACCTTAAATTCATTTTATACAGTATTTGTTTTGTCTTTCTGCAGTGATGTTGTTGTTGGCAAAATTACTTTATTATATTATTTTAAATCCCAAAGTGCAGCATATCTTTTGGTTTTTTAACTATTTAGATGTTTCACACTCTTTTTTGTTATGCGGTGTGACAGTGTGACGTACCTAAAGGACTAAAAACTAACTCCACAGGGAGTGTAAAGTGCTATTGTTTATTTTTAGTAGGGAAGCTGTATTGGTTCATATAGCTGCTTTGCCAGCTGAAAAAACATAGCAGATTGGTGATGTTTGAACACTGTTAATTGCTGGACGTTCTTAAACTACAAAATAGGCCTGATTATCTGGAAGCCAAACAGTAACCCAAATAGACCAAACTACTTTTGATAAGATAAACACTACTAACCTTAAACATTCCCATTGGATTAGCTTTCATTGCTATGAAATGTTGAAGTAAAAATGTTTCTTTGCCATTTAGGAAAATTGTTTGGAATATCTGAAACTGAGTTAAAGGTGCAGTGTCATTTAGTAGATAGTTCTCAGTGGTGCTGGTTCTATACCATCAGTGTGTAAATGCTAAGCGTTAAAAATTGACCAGTCCATCACAGAAAGTCATAATGTACAGAAAGTGTTGTACTCTGTCATTTCTGTTTGGGCAACTGCAAGCAAACAATAATAAATGCTAACAAGAGAACAATGAGCTTTTAATAAATAAAATGTAATGTGAGTTCTTCATGAGACATTATATCTCAAAGCTGGAAAGCTGTCTAGAATAAAATGGCATTTTTACTTAGCCTTTCAAATATTCACTGGAAACATAGCTCTAAGATGCCTTCCATTTTCCAGGTTGTTTGGCATTCGTGTCAATATTAAGTTTGAGGTGTTTTATTTAATAATTTTAAAATTATTTAAATTAAATATTGCTGATATGAACCATGCCCATCCCCTTAACACTAGAAATGGGGGCTGCATTACAACAAAAATGACCAGAATATCATGGTGCTATATCCAGTCAGGAAATGTTGGTTTTAGAAGTACTGCCGACTTGCTTTCTGAGCTTAGACAAATACTTTAAACTTTCCATGTCTCCTATTGATAAGGTAACTTCCTTATCAATAAAGTACAGGGGTGAACTAGGTTTCTAGCATTCTTTATGGCTCAGAAATTTAAGATTAAAAAATATTATTTTTTTATTAATACAAAGTAAAAGAAAACATTTACAGTCCAACCAGCTGCCATGAAGATTATGGAATATTATCTTCTAGTGCTTTGTTGTTTTACACTTCGAAAAAATTAGAGTTGAATTCAAATATCATATACATATGTGTAATATTATAGTGTTGTTAAAATCTTTTTATAAACATTTTAAATGACTGTGGATATAAGCCTGTGTAAGCCTGTTAGGGATTCATACAGTATTGTTAAAAAAAACAAACAAACAAAGAACTATAGGCCAAGGATATAAGTCAGTGGTAGTGTGTGTGTAGCATGTACAAGGCCCTGGGTTCGATCCCCAGCACCCAAAAATTATAAAATTCTTTAGTGAAAATATTTGTGAATAAGGAGCACTCTTTTCTTTCTCTAGCATTATTTCTGTAGGACAGAGTCTCAGAAGTGGAATTATTAGGTCAAAGTTACAAATAATTTTAAGACTCTTGTGCATTTGCTTTCCTAAAGAGCTTGCTAAACTGTATTACCGTAAAAAATGTATTACTTTACAGAAAGATATCCATTTCACCACAACCTGGAGGTCACAAAACAAATTTACCAAGACTCAAACATACGATTGTCCTATGTTAGTTCTTTTAGGATATGAAATTTTAACTAAACACGAAGCTATCAATTCCATATAGTCAGTGCAATTTACACAGAGAAAAGCTGTGTTTTATGTTCACAGCTAAGTGTCTACCAACTGTTGGCGAACTTTAAGATTGCAGGTTGGCTTTGCACAGATTGTGATTATGACCACACTCTAAGGGTATCTAAGGATAATAATATAAAATTTTCATTTATTTTACTCAACCTTGGAAAAGTATTTGAGGCATCAAAGTATTGATGTTGGTTTCACTTCCAGAAATGGCCAAGTTAGAGCTCACTCTCTTGACCTCCAGAGAATACCTATAGATTGGGAAATTATAAGCAGGAAAAGAGGAGTAGGAGCATGAACAGATGCGTATAGAGCCTAGGGAGAGATTTTTGCTTGGAGAAGGTGAGGGAAATTAAAGAAGACCTACATAAATAAAGAAATACTATGTTTATGGATTAGAAAACTCTATATTATTAAAATAACAACTATCCTCCCAAATGATATATAGTGGCATTACAACTCCAATAAAAATCCCAATAGGGTTTTAAAACATAAATGACTTAAAACAACACTGAGATTCCATTTCACTCCAGAAAGAATGGCTATTATGACAGAATCAACCAACAACAAATGCTGGCAGGGTTGTGGGGAAAAAGGAGCCCCTTTCCACTGTTGGTGGGAGCATAGACTGGTGCAACCACTGTGGAAAACAGGGTGAAGATTCCTCAAAAAATTAGAATTAGAAGTCCCATGTGACCAGCGATTCCCCTGCTAAGTATCTTCCTGAAAGAATTAAAAGCATTATTTAAAAGCATTATACCACAGCCATATATGCATACCCTTGTTTATAGCAGCACAGCTAAATCTTGGAAACAGCCCAGATGTCCATCAACAGCAGGACGGATAAAAAAGATGTGGGTTTTTTTATACTGTGGAATACTGCTCACCCATAAAGAAAGACAAACATGAGACATTTATAGCTAAATGGATGCAACTTGAGACTATACTATTAAGTGAAATAAACACACGTTTAAATATTGCATTATCTCTGTGGTGTGAGAAACTGGAAGGGTAAATAAGGATAAAAATGTATAATAGATATTAT